TTTTTTTTTGTCGTAAAATCATGAAAGCCCCAAGGCCGCTTAGCTCCTTACTCGAAACATTTGCGAAAGTCATTGATTTTTTGTTTTCTTTGCTTCTATTTAACATAGCATTCATGTGCACTGCTTGTTGCTATGTAGACTTACGTGTTTCGGCAGTTTCTATGTTGTGTTTCTTATCGCTGCCTAGATTCACAAATATCTCTTCATGCTAGGTAGTAGAACGTGGTGAACTTCTTGATTCCTACACATCCTTTTTCATTAATCAACTTGTCGTCCACCATTTCCTTGGCTACTCTTTTTTTCCAATTATCTTTCATTCATTGCACGTGGTCTGCCATTTGCGAGCAAACAGTAATCAGCTCTAGGTGAGCAACCTTCAAACTCTTTATCCTGACTTGCTTGCCACCTTTAAGAAAGCTGTGGAATACTCAACATCTTGCTGTCTCATTGGCTCAATGTACTACTAAATCAAACTCATCGTTTACACTCACAATGAGTTTGAGATCAAATTGTATAATCAATATTCAATAAGTGGCCGAATTGAGATTAAAGTTCCCAAGAGATAATATCTATCTCAGGGTATCTAAAATTTTGCGAAGGTCGTGCCATCAATTCTTTAGGGGGTTTAAAAGGAGGATATGACCTATTTCTGTAATTATGCATTTAATTATGTATTTTTGTTAATTGCAAATATTTCTTAAATAAGTAAATCTGATGCTTTTTAAGCCAACTCATGTTCGCGAAATGTTGACGCACCTTGTGTTCTCTTATTTTCCAAACGAACCTTCAATTTTCTAATTTATTTATTAAAGTGATTCTTTTTACAGATTACAAATGAGAACACTGAACGACGCTAGATCAAATCCCTAGTTCCAGGACAACGAAGCCAGGTATCGGCTTTAATATGATCATTGATCATCCAAGTTCTCCAAATATTGAGAGGGGAGAATATATGGACCGGACTGAACTATGATTGAGGCATCTAAACTAATCTAATAAACAAATAATCTACCAAATTTTGTGTTAGTTTGACTTTATGATAACATCTTGACTATTAGTTCTTTGTAGGGTGCTTTTATACTATCAAGTCCATTCCTAATTTTCATAGACGCGAGATAGAAATAGGCCGATTTCCTGAAACTCTATATTCTTCTGCACTTTTTCTTAAATCTATTCAAAACCCGTTCTGAAAGCAAAGCCTATCCCAGAGTCAGCTAATGGTAAGGTCATGTTTTTCAAGCTTAATCGCGAACATCAGATCTAAACAAAACTTTTTAAACTCATTTATTGTTGATCTTTGTCTTTCTCATCGTCTCAATTTGTTCCTGCCGTAGCACCTCGCCTTATTCAGGCTTGGTGGCGTTGTTGGCAAAGGAAACTAAGCAAACAAAGAGTAAGAGATGGGTGAGAGCTGAAATAAGATGTCTTGAAATGCTAGACATCAGCAAGTTTTAGGTGTGCTCGTTTGGTGATGCTCACCACAGAGAAACGATCGAAAATTAGCGCTATCCATGCGAAACGACATGACGATCCGAGCCAGTACATTGGTACTTACGTACCTCCCGTCCCACCGTGAGTGCTCCTATGTATTTTTTCTAAATTATGCTTTTATATTAAAATATTGAAACAAAATCTTTCTGCTTTTTTTACTCAATTTTGAGTCGTCACCCGTATTATAAGAGTAAGCGTATTTTTGATAGGTCAAACATTCTAAACGTTGTACAATTATTCTTACATTACTGAAACAATTTCGGAAGATTCGGCTTTGTGCCCTATATCGTAGCCTCACAGTGGGCAATATGAATTTTCTGTAGCATTTAATTCATTCGAGTT